TAGTGATAATCCAGATAAAGTGGTGAATGTGACGATGCATGAACCATCTTCAACCTCAATGGAAAATAGGGAAGCAGTTGTTAATTCATCCCTTTCGGTTTCCAAATTTGACCAAGAAGTAAGCCGAATGGACTTGACAAAAATGTTTGTAGCCATGGAACTTCCATATCAAAAGGTAGAGCATCCATATTTACACTGGTTCATTTATGGCTTACAACCAAAATTTAAATTCCCATCACGCAATACATTGGCATGCGACATTTTGAAGAATTGGGACGTGGAGAAAGCAAAGATGAAGACTATTTTGTCACAAAATTGTCGTCGAGCTTGTATCACTACAGACACATGGACATCTACCCAAGACTCTAATTACATGTGTCTCACAGGGCATTACATTGATAACAATTGGAAGCTACAAAAAAGATTTTGAATTTTACTGAAGTCGCAGACTACACAGGAGAGATTATGGCCAAAACAGTTAAGTGCTTAAATGATTGGGAACTAAATTGTGTGCTTAGTGTGACAGTGGACAACACATCCTCAAATGATGTTGGAATTCAACATCTCAAAAGACGGCTTCTCTCTCAGAATGGCCTAGTTTTGAATGGAGAATACCTTCATACACGCTTTTATGCCCACATATTAAACCTTATTGTGAAGGATGGGATGAAAGAAGTTGATGATTTTGTTGTAAGAATTCGTGCAATGGTGTGGTATGTTAGGCGTACTCCTTCGAGGTTTAGAAGATTTAAGAAATATATTGATCATGAAACAATTGGATATAAAGGTTATGTTGGGAGAGATTGTGAGACTCGGTGGAACTCAACATATCTAATGTTAAAGGGTGCATTAAAACATAATAAGACCTTTACAGAGTTAAAATTTAAAGACCGGAAATATTTTAATGAAATGAGTAAGGATAAAGGAGTGCCTAGACCAGAAGATTAGGAGCATGTTGAGTTAATCCTTCCATTTCTACAGATATTTTATGAAGCTACTGAGCGCATTTCGGGATCTTCTTATGTGACAAGCAACATGTATATGCTTGAGGTTTTTGGCATTGGAAGAAGCATTTTGAACATGTGTAATTCGGTAGATGTAAAGGTAAGGTCAATGGCTATAAAGATGAAGGCAAAGTGCAATAAATATTGGGGAAAACTTGGTCATCTTAACATGTTGTTGTTGATTGCAATGGTATTAGACCCTCGATGTAAAATGAAGCTTGTGGTATGGATGGCAGCTAGGATTTATGATAGTGGTGATGCAGAATATTTGAAAACTAAATTGAATTCATATTTGCAGTCTATTTTTTATGAATACTCTGGTAGGGCAGTGTCTCGTCTAGGTAGTTCAGTCAATCTATCAAGTGGTTTTAATGCAGTTAACGATCCGTACCATTGCGCTGAATTCTATCAGTCAGATGAGTGCAGCACATCAGAGACAGAATTATAGAAATATATTCAAGAAGAAGTAGAAAACCGTCTTCCAAATTTTGATGTGCTAGAGTGGTGGAAGGTGAATTCAAGCCGATATCCAATACTTGCAAGCATTGCAATAGAGGTTTTAGCCATACCGATATCCAGTGTAGTCTCTGAATCAGCGTTCAGTAATGGAGGAAAGATCCTTGACGCATATCGTAGTTCTTTAACATCGGCTAGTGTGGAAGCACTTATTTGTACTGAAGATTGGCTCAAAGGAGTAGTTCCGTCTTTTCTTAGTATTAAGGATCTCGATAATATTGATCGAATTGAGGATGGTAAGATGTCAATAAAAAGTAATGTCTTATTACTTTATTGATGCATATTAAGTTTTTTCCTTTCTCTTGCAGAACTATATTCTACACCAGATGCTGGCAGTTGCTCAGTCTCTGTGTCAGTTGTTGATGATTGAGGGCAAGTTATGGGAATATTTCTGATACAAAAATTCTGGTAAATATTAATTTTGTCTTCTAGTTAGTTAGCTAAACTAGTGATTGAAGCGTAAGATAGTTCTTCATGTCTCTGTTTTGTTTCACATATTACTATAACTTTACATTTCGATTTCGTTCTTGTTTCTACTATATCAATAACTTCGCATGCAGTTTTTCAGTTTACTCATCGATTCCTTCGTTATCGCAGCACAGTAGTGTTTTTCACTGTTTTTCATGTTAATCGGAGCCATAACATTTTTCTGAGAAACATGTAGCTGGCAATGATGTTTATTGATATGTTCTTCGCATAATGCTGTCAATTGAAAGCTTCCTTTAGCATTGTTTTTTTTTAAATATGGGATAACATGTTTTTTTTATTGTGGTGCTTAGTTTTAATCTGGATTATGTTTGTAGTTATTGATGTGATTTAATATTAGCAGAGATGATTGTGGTTATTTCAGTAGGTTTTAGTGTGACTGTGTGTGTTGTTTGAAGAAAAAAAAATCAATTGTATTTTGATCTTCGATTTTGTAAGGGGACTGCAATTTGGTAAATGTAGTGTCTAGAATTAAAAATTGTCATCAATTTAGTCGTCCTGTGGAACAGTTCGATAAATTCTGATGAATCTGGATCGTGAGATATAGGTTTATCAAAGGATTAAATGGATTTCTGAAAACATGTGTTTGGCTGATTGTCCCCTAAGTAATGTGCCAGAACAGCATTTCTAACTGCATTTGATGAAAGAGACTAAATTGATTGATGAGGTTTTCAATTTCAGAGATTAATTTTGCATTTCATAAATTTAACGAACTGCATTGTCTAACTCTTACGGTTTTGTGGAATAAAATGATACTCAAAAAATTTTATGGGTGGGACAAGGAAGGGAATAGTTATTGAACAATAAATGGATTATCAATAAGTTTTGTGTATACAGTATTTCTGTGTGGTCTCCGTATGCTAGGGAAAAATGTGGTTTGAATCCATTGTTTGAATTGTCTTCTTTTCAGGAGAGACATAAGTGGGTGGATGATTTGAAGACAAAAGGGATGCATGCTATTGTTGTGGTTCTTCTTGTAAACTTGTTTTGGAGGAACCAAATGGTTTCCATTGATTTCTGCAAGATTTGATTTACTTAGCTAATATTAAGTATGTGTTTTATCATCATTTGATTGTATCTCGGTGTATTGTTTGTAAACTGCACAAGTCAGTGAAACTTGTAGTAAGTTTTGTAATATTTTCTTATCATTCGAATGCTCATATGATTCAGAAATATGATGTTCCATGGTTTTTAGTATATGCAAATTGTTTGAGACATTTCTATGAATATGAAACTGACTTTAGTAAGAATATAAGCAGCAGGTATGAGTCTAATGACAGTTCCAATGAAGAAAATATTAAGAAAAATTCACAATTGAAGAAAATATGATAAGCAACATCCACAATTGGTGATACAACAATTGCTATTTAAACCAAAAAGTTTAAAAAAATCTAGATTTGAATCCAACTTTATTAAAAAAAATCATAAAAAACGGTTTTTTTTTAATATATAAGAAAACCAGTTTGACATTTGGTAAAAAAAATAATCCAGTTCTTTCAAAAAAATTGATTTTAAATTAGTTAAACTAAATTTGGTTTAAAATTATGAGCTGGTTCTGAATGGATTCTAAATCAAATTGAATTGGTTTAATAGATTAACCACTTTTTATTAAAGTGGTTTTTCAAAATTACACTAAACCACTGATATGTTTCAGTTCAACTCAATTTATAAACCACGGACATCCCTAATGAAAACAAAATCTTGTGTTCTGGAAAAGCCGAGCGTATAATGCAATGAGGCTACACTTCACCACAATCAGTGCTTTCATATTTGGTAGTGTATTTTGGAATGTTGATTCAAAAAGGTAATATTTATTTGTTTTCATTTATTGTAAAGGAGTTATTTCATGAATGTACCTTTAAATCAAATAAAAAAGTGTAAGCGACTTTATTCAGTTTGACTGACACAATAATTATCAATAATATTATGTAGAGCATCATCTCAAGAGCTATTTGGGCTTTATGGGATTCTGCTTGCTTGTTTCTTGGTGTACGGCCGATTCTTTCAATAGAAAGAACAATATTTTATAGACAGAAAGCAGCAGGAATGTACTCTCCATTGCCATATGCAGCAGCCCAACTAGGTCTCATTTCAACACTGAAAATCATCACATGGATAATTTTTCAGCTAAATTATTTACTTATGATGATTGTTTAATTTGACTTTCAGGATCTTATAGTGATCCCATACATTTCTGTTCAAACATTGGTGTTTGGCTCGGTAACATATTTTATGGTGAATTTTGAGAAGATTGCGGGTAACATATCAACTTTCCATATATTCTTCTATTGGTTGTTTTATATATTGGTTGTTTTATATACGTTCGGATTTCACTTTTAATGTACTATAAAAAAAATTTGATTTTCTGTGACATTCAAAAGTTATCATTAAAAGTCAATAATCTGTAAGTATTCTGCAAGACTTTGAGTGATAACCACGTTTAACTTCAATTATAAGAGACTGTAGTGTGACATCAAATTGTCACAATAACTTTTAACTACAGCCACACTTTTCTGCAGTTGTAATGAATATCAATATATACTATCCTAGTATTACAAATAATGGACTATAGTTACATATTATTTTCTTTTAGCTGTCACTAAAACTTCATATAATTTTTATTATATTAAAATCTAATAAATTTATAAATTCACTTCCTAATATAATAGAAAATATTACTAATATTGCTAATATAACTAATAGAAAATATTACTAAAACATCAAAATATTACTAATATAACTTCATATAATTTTCAAAATATTACTAATATTACCAAATTTATTCCTGTTGGTCGTCGCAATATCATAATTTCTAGAAGAAAGTGATTGTTATATCAAATGTATCAAGTTTACAGCCACATAAAGATAAAGAATCGGCAAATTACAATTATAGCTAGTTAGAAGCTTGATGCTCCAAAAACATGTAACTAAGAAAACAAACCTGATTTCTATAAGGATGAATAAAGTCTGAGATGAGCTCAATGTATTTGCACGTCAGGATGCCTGTATGACCACTCCTAAAACCATACAAATGCTTCCTTTTGCTCTTTCTTGTAGGTAATCTAAAACATAAATCAAAATGCACAGTTTGAAATTTAACTGCACATATTTCCACAAACATCGTTTAATTCTATTGAATTGAAAACTATCTTTACTAACCAAAATTTCCATAAATCACATTGTGACCTCCAAGAGCTTGACCACCAGACAAAACCACGCCAATCTTCAACTTTTGATTAGGCAGCACAGTACCAGAACCACTCAGCACCAGCACCGTTGACAGTTGCTTGAACAAGTTAGGAAACAGCTTTGTGATCTCATATGCAGAAATGATACGGTCAAAAAATGAAAGTGATGTCAAGAGTTTGACGAGAAAATGAAAATTGATGGATGAGATGGAAAGTGGTTGAGAGATGAAGATTGGGATTTCCATCAGCAGAGCTTTGAGAACCATCGACAATCTTGAAAGGGCTTTTGAGAATGGAGGGAAGAAGGAGAGTATGGAAGATACAACTTTGGACGTCGTGAGACGGTTTTGCTGATGACAATGACTGTGATCACTCTTCGTCAATACAAATTCATCTTTCAAGTGCTTACCATATATTCTCTTTTTTTTGTTGTTGAAGGGAAAAACAAAAGACACAATAATCAGACAAAAAATCTACTGTCTAAACAGAGTTTATGCAGTATAACTAAAGTTTTCAACATTCCAAAACTATTCTAGCATATAGAATTGAACTTCCTAAGAAAAGTAACACCATGTGATCCATAATTTCATAAATTAGCAAGAACAACAATAACAACAACAAAACTAAAACCATATAAACGAATACACAATTTATAATTACAGAAAATAGAGTGATCAACAATTACCAAAGCAGGTTAACATAATAACCAACAAAGTTATGATAAGACTAGAAAACTAGTAACAATTTCCAACTCACACTATTATCTAAGCATGTTAACATGATAACCAACAAAGTTATGAAAAGACTAGAAGACTCAAAATCAAAAAATCAATTTAAAAAGTATTGTTATGGTTTAACCTGAACAACATATTCGATATTCTGCCTCAGCTACCTTAAGAAGAAAACCTTCACTACATATGTGAATAATAATACTACATAATATAAGAAATTATTACAATTAGTGTTGATGTATCACAATTCTTAAAGAATATTTTGATTCACACGAGATCTGAGATAGTGTTGACACAATTAGTGTTGATACAATTAGTGTTGATGTATCACAATTCACACGAGATCTGAGATAGTAGCATCCTCTCTGCTATTTTGATCATAGTTCTATAAAAAATCTAAAATCTAAATTCTTAAAGAATATTCTGATTCCGTGAGTGAGAATGCTTATTTGAGGTAAAATTGAATTTGGTGGTGAAAAAGAATTGGTCCACTCTAGGGTAACCCTAGAGTTGCTTGAGAAATTATCACAATGTATGAAGTATACATAGAGAGAACATATTCACAACATTGACGGTATATCGCCACCGCATTCAAAATCATAATAATGACACGGGATCCAGAGCATGTGTAGAGATAGATGGAGTGCCGCCATCGAAGTCACTATCACGCTGCAAGAACTCCACATAAATCATGAAAAACTACCTTCAACTTCGACATCATCTTCTTCTGATAACAATGAAATCGAAATAGATAAATTTAGAGCTTATCTCTAAGATCAATGGCGAGAGAATCGGGGAAATGGAGATGGTGAGCGAAAATTTGAGAATTTTGCAGATGAATTGTTAGGTGAGAGAGGGAAAGATGAATAGGGATTTAGGGTTTGTATCAGGTTAATAGAAATATAAATGGTTTTTTTTTATTCAAATTATTTATAAAATATAAAATATAAAAAATGAATGAAAAAGGTGTATAAATCGCTATATAACAATTATTAAAATGAAAATTAAAAAACGTATAATTTTATCTTTATTATATGTCATAGATTATGGTGTACTATTTTTTTATTTTAAAATGTGTTAGAGAAAAAGATAATTAGATCAATTTTTTTATTTTAACATAAAAAATAACTTAATAATATATAAAATATAAATATAAAAAAAATAGTCGAGAAAATTATGTTTAGTTGTCGTTTTTTAAATAGTGAAATTTTTTTTAATAAAGATTTGTGTGTAATAAAACTAAAAAATTATTTATTTTTTTTACAAAATAAAAAATTAATAAATTATTCAACTGTTGGAAAAACTAACTAAAAGAATAGGAAAAACTAATATTTAGTAACAAAAAATAAGGTGTCACTGAAAATGAGTGTTACCGTAGATTTTTTTTTTTTTCTGTAGTGATGTATGATTGTGAATTTTTTTTAAAGCTAACTATGTTATTTAAATTAATTATTACAAAAACACATTTTTTTAAAAATTTATAGAATTGGCTAACATTTAACCTTGTGTCGCCATATTAAATGGCTGAAGTGAACCAATTCTCCATATGATATGGCGTACTAGTAGAAGACCCGTGCGTCTGCACGGGTAAGTCCACTCATGTCTTAGATGATTCAATGAGACTTTAATGTTGTTGATGTATAATTCTTATTATGAAATCACTAACATTTACAAATATGTAGTATATCACCAACAGAGAAAATTCAATACGACTAATAACTGCAAATATTTACGGATATAACTGATAATTACAAATATTTATAAATATTTCCTTGAATATTTACTGATATATTCTTACATATTACATATTTTCTTAATTTGTTTAGCTCATTGTTGCACCCCAAAATTTGACCAACATTTATTTATCCATCAAGAGTTATATGAGACTTGGAAGCTAGCCAAGAAAGTTGTTCAAGTGATTAAGGGTTGATATCCTTGTCAGAGAACTCAAGAGATCCTCAGGGAGATTGGTTGAAACCAAGGTTGTGTGTCTCATAGCTTGAGAGTTGTGGGAGCTCCTCAGATGATTCTGAGACTATGTGGATGGACTTGAAGCTCTGAGAAAGCTTATGAGATGTCTTGAAAGCCATCATGAAGCCTAGAGAGGTCATTGTACAAGAATTCAGAAGATTCAGCCATGAGTGGTGGAATTAGGGTTTGACTGGGTCAACCCTAGGTCAACTGATGATTTGGAGAGGGTTGAGACCTAATCCAAGAGCCATGTGATCATGGAATGATGCATTGAGATGCTATAAGGATGATTCCTAGACCAACTCATCATGATTGAGGAGTTTGAGAAGTTTTAAGCTAGGGTTTCTAAGGCTCAACAGTGTAAAATCCCCTAGTTTGATCCCTATCTTCAAGGCAGTTTAGCTCAAGATGTGATTGTCATCTCATCTTCCCCACAACATGAATGTTGTAGATCTTGTTCTTAGATTTAATTTGAGTACTAGAAGTCCTTGATAGGATTTATAGAGCTCAAGTTATGACTTTGACAAATTGCAGGTCATCTGAGGTATGTGAATCTGGGTCCTTGAAAGTCACCCAACTTGCATCCAACTTTTGCCCTAGTAGGATGATTCCTATGGATTCTTGGTCAACATGAATGTTGTAGATAAACTTCTTAGCTTTCTAGATAGTACTAGAAGTCCTTGATAGGATTTGTAGAACTCAACTTATGGCTTTGACAAGTCAAGGGCATTTTGGTTATTTGGAGGTTATGGGTCATTTCAAGCATAAGGCCATATCTCCTAGTTCCAAGCTTCAAATGGAAAAATCTTCAACATAAAACTTGCTTAGAATGATGTTTTAAGGCTAGTAGGAAGGTCATGAGGTGTTAAAAAGGCTTGTATAAAAAAGTGATAAAAATGGCCTAAAATGGAGGCATAAGTTAATTAAGGTGAAATTGAAAATTGGAAATCACAAGTTATAAATTCAAACCATGTCATATAATAGCTCATTTTGACTCCAAATGACATTCTAAGAACATTGGTTCATCCACAATTTTGATTTGAGGCTTGGATCATAGGGCTGCTTTGGAAAAGGCTTACTTGCATATTAAGGTACCAAAGCAAAACTCAACAAAACTCAATAATCAAGTTGGTTATGCATTGTAACTCACCATAAATCTCATATGGGGAGAATTTCAAGTCAGTTACCAAGGTTACAAGAAGCTTGGCATGAGATAGCATGTAAGGAGAATTGAAATCAAAATGTCATGACATGAAAAGTTCAATTTCTCATTGGATGATCCTAGATGGTTCTAGATGATTCTAAACCACTCTATATAACATATGTAACTTGCTCAGATGCAAGGTTGGTGAGAATTGGTGCAGAGAAGAGAGAGTGAGATCAAGAATCTTCCATTGCAAGTCAAGTTCCAATTTCACATTCTTCTTCATATCCATTCATTCTTTCCATTCAAACACATTCCATACATTATAGTGAAGCTGTGCAGATTGAATTGAGATCAAATCCATGGAGAATTGAAGAGTTGGAGATTGAAATTTCAAGGTGGCAATTCAAAATCGGTTTCCAAGAATCAAGTTGTTTCAACCATTCTTTTTGCATACAGAAGCAAAAATACTACTCAGTGAAGGAATTGGGAAAGATTGAAGCATTGATTTGGTGGATTTCATCATCTGTTCATCAAGATTAACCAGGTTTGAAAATTCTTCCCTACACCATGTTTTAGGCATAATTAGGTTGATTTGTTAGTGTAGAATTGTTAGAGACCAATAGGTGATGGATTTTGGAGAGTTAGGGATCAATTGGTAAAGATTGGATAGTGGACACCATTTCTGTTTGGCCTTGTATCTTGCTGAATATTGAGAGATAGGATTAGTTCAATAGCAAGAAATGTTCAGGGAAGCATGAGGATGAGATTAGGACCATTAATTTTGAGAATTGTTAAGATTGGTTCTTGATCAATAATTTGAAGTTGCTATCGGGTTTTATGATAGAGACCCTTTCAATGAAAACCAAGACTATGAGCATGATCAGTGTGGAAAACTAAGCAATTTAATGTTTTGAATTGTTGAATTTGATGCTGTTATGAGGAGGTACGAGCGGGTGGAAAATGGCTGCATGAACTCTGGTTCACGAAGCTTTCATGGCAAACCCTAGGTTGGAGGTTAGGGACGAAGTCTGGGCCGTTGGATGAGGAGCTGACCATTGACTGAGAATTAGATCTGAGGGCCACGATTCAATTGCATTTGGGAGGGAATCTGAGCTACAATGAAACGCGGCGTTTCATTAAAGGTTTCTTGGGTTGGATCACTATGCACACCCCCAGTCAAGGCCCATCCAAGTTTTGAACTGTTTTTCTCTTCTATTCGCACCATGGATTTTTTCTTTTTATTTTCATTTTCTTAATTAATTTCTCATTAAATGATGGGCCCAGCGCGCTTGCTTTCTAAACCCCCCATTCTGGGCCCACGCGTGAATTGAACTATATCTGTTTGCTAGCTGCACCCCATCCCTTCATATTTCCATTTTATTTTCTCCATTTTCTTTCAAACTTTGGAAAATCATAT